ATTTTGCCATCAGTAAAGTGTGATCCCATAATAAATTTCCATCAAGCAAACTATTTCTGGTAATTCCCCCTAATTAACACCAGACTGCTAATAATAAATTAGGCCCTATGTGTTTCTGATATAACCAAGATCTTGTCTGAGCATAAGATATTAACCAATGTGCCGAGAAAGTAAAACTCAAACCTAAATTAAGCCTTTGCTGGTAAAAGGATTTATATGCAATTTTGTGAGAAACCCTTTGAAGATCTCATACAGGGCATTTTGACCGGCAAACATTTTGAGTGACAGAGAGATTTGTTCTGTGCTGAGCAGTGAAAGTGGATTTATTGTGAAAACACACCGTTGAGTTTTAAGCCTATAAATCTTACACTGGATTACAGTGTCTTAATGAATGAATGACAGATCTCCTTTTTTTTTTTGCCGGTGCATTTTAATGTTACATGACGTTGTGATTGATAGAAACCAAACCTTCGCCATTAAAACGTCAAATGCAGACTTGATGCCTTTAAAAGTTTGGCTTCTGGAGTTTAATATACTGTTTGCAAATAGACTTGCGTTTGTCTCATTCGTAGTCTAAACACTGAAGGGGAGGCAAGTTTTCTGTAAAGTTGCCTCTAAATTTTATAGAGCTGTGTGCAGTGTTTTCCTTTGCTTATGTAAATAAAGGTGGAAAACAACAGTGTGTTTGCCTAGTTAAGAGATACTCAGCTAAGGAGGGTCTTGCCAGGCTAGAATTATCATGAAGTAATCGGCCATATAGTAGGTGGCTAAGTATCCTGTGGTGAAAGCAGAGACTGCTGTGTTCCAAGGCTAAGAACAATATCAGATAATGCTTGCCAGAGCAGGCAGTATTTCCTTGGACAGTCTCAACTTAGGAAAAATATTAAACACTTCTAAACAAGCATGGCAAAGTATTCTAGTTGGGCGGCAGAATGAAGGATAGCAAATAAATAGTAATTGGCCAATACAGAGTTTTACGTTGTTACATATTCTACAGTGTTTCTATTCTACCGTACTTCCATCTTTCCTTCCATCTTGAGAAAAGATGAAGAATCAGAGACTCACCAAAGTTGGAAGGGACCTCTGGAGATGAAGGGACCTTGTCTAGTCCGAGAGCCAGGTCCAGCTGGGTTTTGAGCCTCTCTCTCTCTCTCCAAGGACAGAGACTCTGCTATCTCTCTGGGCAACCTGGGCTAGTGTTTGACCGTCCTCACAGTTGTCCTGTCATTACGTACCACCAAGTCAAGCCTGGCTCCACCTTCTTTACTCCCCCCTCCAGGTATTTGTACACATGAATGGGATCCCCTCTGAGCCCTCCAGGCTGATCAGTACCGGTTCTCCCTGCCTCTCCTTGTATCACAAATGCTCCAAGCCCTTAATCTTCTTCCTGGCTCTTCACTCCAGTCCGTCCATGTCTCTCTTGTACTGGCAAGACCAGCACTGGACCCAGCACTCCAGATGTGTCTCACCAAGGCTGAGCAGAGAAGAATCATCTCTCTCGATCTGCTGGCAATGCCTAATGGAGCCCAGGAGGCTGGTGGTCTTCCTCGTCACAAAAGGGACATCACTGGCTCATGGTCAACTTGGTGTCCACCAGGACACCCAGCTCCTTTTCTGCAAAGCAAACCTCCAAAAAACTGAAGAACAAGCAACTCAAACGATATCTATTCATGTGGAGAATCATGACTTTCTTTTACTGACCTTGATTCAGAAAAAAGAAAACATCCAACAACCACAAAGCAACTGAGGACGGATAGAGAGTTTGGGGTTTTGTGCTGGGTTGGTTTGTTTTATATTTTAATTATAAGTGCATTTGCCAATGTGAACAGCCAAAATTTGACGCCAAAGACTATTAAACACAAGGAAACCACCAGGACTTAACGGCTAGTTGTTTAGTGTAAAACAATGAAAAAAAGGAAACTCAAAGAAGTAATCTGTGAATTAATGTTGTTCCTCTCCTTACTCCTGCTTGCAAAGCCATTCATATGGTTAGATGATGCAAGCAGCTCAAGGAAGAAACAGGTACACAACTGAACAGACCAATAACACACTGAACCACAACTCAACTTTTGCTTTTAAGTTTATTGCATTGTTATATTAAGTATTTATATTTACACATAATTCTGAATTATTTAGTTACAATATACTGAAACTGTCATGATGACTCAATTATTCAGTTATAAAGACTTTCTACCTTCAAACAGAGTTAAACCCAATTCTCTTACAGGCACAGTTTTGGAAGAAAAATAATTACTGACTGAAAATGCATGCAGAAAACTACAGTAGTTAGGCTACTAACATGTCTCTCCTGACTTTCTAACATTCCATCAAAACGTGAATGCTGTACATGCGTTGCACGAAAAATAGTTGAGAATCTCATGAAATCCCCAAATGATGATGGAACGGTGCTGATTTTTGCTATGTCAAGTCTGCAGTCAAATATATGTACGCATATGTGCATATATACGTATGTCTCTCAATGTACACGCATATATGTGCATGTATAGAGAAGTATATATAAATACATACACACACACCTCCCAAAAAAGATTCCAGAGGTAAATATGCAGGCTTACAAATAAAACAAAATATGAATATACCAGTATGATATAATCCTAAAGAAAAAAAGGTAATAAATATTCAGTGAGATATATGGCATTATTATAAAGTGCTCTACTAAAATCTCACTTATTAAAATAATGATAAAAATTATGTTCCTTTTAGTTGATTTATATAATTTGGTAGAGCCATTAAATATTATGTATCAGTGACTCTATGCTTCCTTTTAAACAAATAGATAAAAGCAGAAATTAAAAGGCAAAGCAGCTAAATGAAGCAGTACTATTGGAGCCTTCCAGGCTTTTGTCCTCAAATCCATTACAACTGCAAAATCTCAAACCCTAGAGCATATGGATTAAGAAATATAATTCCAATTAAAATTACAAAACTAAACAAAATCCAATTTGATTTTAAGGACACGGACAAACTGAAAAGTTTCTATCCTACTTGAAAATAGCAAGGTTTGAATTGCAGAAATTACCAAATGCCTTATCCTGTGCTTTCCCATCCTCTTGCCTCACGCATGTGCAATATAGCTCCACTGAAACCTAGTCTCTAGGTCTCATTTCTCCACATTCCACTTAATTTCAAAATCAGCCTGGCTCATATCTTGCTGTATCTTGTCCAGTCTGCTTCTACCCCTCTGATTTTCAGCCAAACTCACAAAAGGGTGCATCTACAAGAGTGTAAACATTTTAAACAGCTTTATGCCATTTCTTCCGTACCACCAGAGGTTAAAAAAGAAACATGGCAGTATTGAAGAAAAACAATTTCAGGAAATAAAGTGAAACAGCCCCACAACATGAACCTGTCTTGCCGAATTAATAAGAAAGCCAAATATCTTTTCATATTTCAGTACAACAATTCTGCTTTTCTTTCCCCCTCTTCCATTGACATTCCTCGTTACAGTGGCTTTATTCAACCACGGCAATATTTTGTGATTTTCCCCCATGGTTTTATGGACAAACCTATCCTTTGTATCAGTAAAACAAAAATGAAAACACAACAACAAAACCAGTAAATGGTTACTTTTAACACCTACTGGAAAGAGCAGTAAAGACTAGCAATCCAGCTCTGCCACCCCAGTTGAATTAAAGAGCATGTAAATTCAGTTTCCTTCAGGAATCTGATCCGGCCCCGAGAGGGCCCCCTTCTCTGTTGTGCAACTCTGCTGGAGCGAAATTCCCCCCGTGCGGAGGGTCACCACCTCTTCCCCATCTGCCTAAAACTGCTCCGTACCACTGAAGCCCTAATTTGAAGTTAAGTGGGACTCAGCTGGTGCACAGGTCTTGTGCTGACTCTCTGTATGGAGGCGAAATTCCTATCAAGCCACAGAAGGGGCTACGTCTCCTGGCTCGCAGTAAATGCATAACGACAGCATTGTCTCTCCGCTCCCTTGCAAGAACTGAGAGATACTGAGCTGCCTAACTCAATATGATATTATACAACAATATATTCCTTACATCTGGAGGAAAAGAGAGAAATAAAACTTAAAATAATAAAGATCGTAACAGCTGAGCAAGAAAGTAAGGTTCTGGTACACTACCTGGCACACCACCAATATACATATTCATGAGCTACATGGTAAAGAATGTACTGAGAGAAAAACAATGTCCTCTGTTGCACTTCAGCAGTTTCCCTCATTCAACACCAGAGTCTCACATTCTGGATACAAAACACTGTTACCTGCAGATTGAGTGCCATTTCCCCTTTCCAAGGCACTTAAAACTATCTAAAACACAAACTGCCAACATAAGAGTGTAACTCCCTGCTCCGTTATTTCGGACATGTTTCTCCGACATGTCCATCCTATCAAACACACCTTCACTAGCAGGTTTTTTTGGCTAGTATTCTGGTAGTACATGAGTTAAGGACAAGTATCCCATTTATGTTTTCTTCTAAGTGGCATCTTCTAAACTATTCTTGTTCACCAGCATAGCCATTGCCCTACTTAATAGCTTTGTAAAAATCTCTGTCCTTCACAGGTTTAACTGCAAAGGCATGGGTGCATGTAATTATTGTAGGAGGCTTCATGTATACAAGTATCAGATAAAAATATCAGTTGTTGAACTATATAGTCTGTAAAGTCTTTGCTTTGAGTTCCTTTTAATGGAGTTTAGCTGCAATACTTCTAGACACACTTCAAAAAACATCAGCCCAATAAAGTGATCTAGATCGTTGAAGCCAATCTTCTTTTATTTGTTGAATAGCAGCAAAACCAGACTTCTAATATCAGGTATTTATTTTTATAGACGCTTCCCTTCTTATACTGAAGCAGATATAAATGTGGTCATAAAATCATGAAACCAATGCAGCAATGTGCCAAGTGTAAAGGCACTCATCGTTTGGCTAGGGTGCAATTCCCAATTCCTAGCTTTTTATGAAGCAAAACCTTAACTGATAAACGCTCTAAAAATTAGTGTGCAATCCCCTCCGCAGGTTTCCAAATTACTCTTCCATTCTAGAAAATCATACATAAATAATTTTAACCGATTATTGAACACAGACATTTTGACCTTTCTTTCTGCTCAGTACATTTGTTACACAAGATGAGCTCCAAGCATCAGATGTTGATAGAGTGAGCATGTTTCTTGCACAGTGGCTTGTCCTTCTTGGAGAAGAAAGTTTGACCTTCCAAACTGTCACTACATACCTGAAATGGGATAAAAAAGAAAAGATCACCCAATTGAGATGGATTAATTACATCACACATTATTCAGAATGCCAAATCATGGCATTGTTCTATGCACAAATATATTCAAAGAATAAGAATTATTACCTTTTTCTTAGTGGCACTCTTTTTCATGTAATACTATAGCTGGTGTAAGCAGAACCTTCCTTTCTTTAAGTCAACAGGTTCTTAATTGAGTTTGGTTCAGCATTTTAAAGAAAACATCCAATCGTTAGGATTGGATATATAAAAATATATATATACACACAGGTGATATTTTTGGCTACAGTGTCTTTATGTCAAAAGCATTCTTGCTACTTTAGAAACACAGCCTGTTCCTCCAACGCTTGCCCCGAGGAAGTAAACGTCAAGGGTTAAATGCTAGGACACATGGCTGCAATCCAGGCCAACTCCTCTGGATCAGTGCCAAAGGCTCACAATAGCAACACACCTTCAAATAACTGGGAAAGTGCTTTTTGTTTGGGCTCAGAGAATTGGGAGAGGTTATAGCTGTTAACTCCCACATCTGCCAGGTTAGCACAAGCACTGCTGCCATGGGTTTGTTTAAAATGTAGACTAGCTTTACTTACTGAGCATACAAAGCAAGTGTCATGCCAAGTGTGGCCCAGAGCTTCAAGAAACCTGTCTCCAGCTTCAATGGGGAATTCACAGCCATGGCACATAGTACCAAAGAGGGCATAGTAATCTGGAAACAAATACAAACAGATTTTAAAGATGAGGCATATGCAGAAAAGCAAGACTGACCCTTTGAAACCTTCATGCTTTTCTTTCAACAGCAGTGGGTTTGCACTTGTCGAGTTTTATAACACTGGGTATGCTGAATAAATTGCTCCGAGATCGAAAGACCGGGATGCCCTCCTTTCCTCGCTAATTCAGTTCTCATCGCCTTCCTTATCCATTCAAGAGAGTAATGCTTCCATCTTCCCGGTGTTTCACTTCCTTGAGATCAATGGCGTGCTCGGGGAGGGGGGAAGGCACTCCTCGCAAAGCACCCGCACGGGCTCTACATGCTCCGTACGTTCACTCTGGCTCTGCCTTGAAAGCATACCCTGGCTGTTCACACGACAGAGCTCCTCAGTGAGTAACGAACTCCTGCCTACGTTCTGGCACAATATTTGGCCCAGACTGCACTACACAAAATCATGCAATCGTTAGGCTTCTGTCCTAAACAGAGTCTAGCAATTTGGATCAAGTCAGAATAGCTTTCTACTCACTGGAGTTTATTACATGGCTCTTTCAAAAAAACAAAATCAAAAAACCAAACCAAAAACAAACCAGAGGCTTTAGCCAGTATATTTATTGCATTTAACAAAAAGTATCAGTGGGGTGTCACGATGGTTATTAGCGACGGGTATCACTGAAGGGTATTTGCAACATTCATTTTTAGGGTCCAGATTGACTTGGTGCCTCTGGAGGCTCCCCTGGAGTCAGCAGAGAAAAGCTCCTCCAGCAGTCTGAAAAAGCAGGGACCAAAACCAAAGGCACCCAACCATTCATGTTCCCCACTGACCGCAGAGCTTGAAAAAGAGAAAGCAGGGCAGACTAACAGGATAAAATACACGTATAAAGTTGGGTGTGAGGCACTGACCCATCCCCATGGTCTCAGTGTGTGAAAGTGTGTAGAGCCATCGCAGGGGCTACATGTCACCACAGCTCTCTGCTGCCCACCTGTGTAGACCTAAATTTCACCCCAAGTTGTCCGGTCTTTTCCACTTATTTCAACTCTCAAACACCCCATTCTAAGCAGGAAACGTCATTTTTTTTCCTGCACAGAAGGCAACAGCATGTGGGCACGCTGGTGTTGGGTTAACTGTTGGACTTGATGATCTTAAAGGTCTTTACCAACTTAATGATTCTGTGATTCTGTGAGCATTAGTGCTGTAACACAAGAGAATTTGGGATCAACATACTACCATGCCAAATACATAATGTCATGCAATATTACTTCTTCATAAGATGAACTACAGAGTGACAACCATAATGACGCTTTGGACTCCATCCTTAATAGTAACACTCTGGCTCTGCGAAGGAAGTTGGATGTCAGGCGTTGTGTCAAAGAACCTTATAAGGAGTGGCAAGCAGGGTACATGGAGATTTTGTTTCTCTGCTAGATTATACAGATCTGCTGAAGCTCTAGTGCTTACTGCAGTACAACCAACGGAGGCCTATCGCATGTGTCAAGCACCAGGGTAGAGTCCTGTTTCAGTTTAGTAATACAGTGTTTTGTATGATGACCTCAAAAAGCATCATTGTAGGAGGCATCTAAGCAGGACGGGGAACACAAGTGCTCCAGAAAGGCACAGGCCTTGATAGCTGCCAGTAGCATGAAAGAGCTTTGCTGATCACCTTCATTAATCCATGCCACTGGCATGAATTTGCAAGTGTTTAAGCAGAAGACAGACAATAAAAATGTCAAATGGTAAAACACCTCTGCCCAAAACCCCTGAAGGACACAGTCTCATGACCATACTGTTTCAGCTCTTTGCATTCGAGTTCATACAGAATCTTTTGCTGATATTTTCCTGGTGCCAGTAGCTAAAGCCTTTTGTAAGTTGGCCTGTGGTTTGTGTTGATAAGTTTATTGGCTTTTCTTCTGAAGAAAGGGCAATAGATAAGGCAGAATGAAGGGCATCAGCTTTCTTTTGCTTTTGCGTGCTTGAATTTCGACACCACAGAAGCCTTCCAAGGCAGACTTCTCATACAGTCACATATCAATGCTTCCTGCACGCAGCATTTTCAAAATTAGGTTACTATCTCTGCACTTTAAAAAAGTTCAAAGTTGTAGATATCTGCACTTCTAATTTAATTTTAGCATCGACATCCAAAACCAGAACATTTTGCAGATTAAACCCCCTTAATACCAATAGCTGATGCTCTTATAATTTCAAATACAGATTTAAAATTAGAACCCTTCTTTGCACTAGGAAGAAGGAAAGTTGGCAATGACATTTACTCCTTTTTTCTTTTAAATTAGTCATAGACTCTTAACTCCAGCTGGACTGAAAAGTCTTTGAAGAATGAATACATCTCAAATTAACAACTAGTTAGAAAGCCAGAGCCATTACAACATATCACTGCCAACAACACCTCACAGAATGTGTCTACATTAACTTGTGCTAGCAACTTTCTATCTCAGAAATAAACTTCACAAGAAGTATAATATTTTTGACATTTTGTCCCAGTGTTTTCTGCTCACAGTATAGAAAAGTGCGCATTTGCAAGAGTTGTAACCGTAGCACAAATCAATGCACCGCACAACATATGGGTCATTTGGTGGCAGGAACAAGAATTCAATATTAGCAGAACAAACCGGTCACGAGCTTTCCACCCAAAGGGGACTTATCGATTCCTCCAGTACTATTTTTGAATCATCAAATCGTTCCAAGATTAGGGGCTTCAGATTGCTTCAGGATGAAATTTCACCATGCTGTCACACCGGAGGATGCTGCTGCTCATATACCCTTTTCCTCTGCTGCTCCATGAATTCAATAGGAGCAACATGTTACCCTACTTGTGTCACTGAGTTAGCAGTAACCTAGCGCGTCCTTTTGTATCTGCAAACACCTCATTAAAGCTGCTCTGACAGAGAAATTTTGGATAAATTTGCCTGTTTTCTTCATCCATTCAGTACCCAGCACTCTTCATGGCACCTGCTGTGAACAACTGTGGGATCAACCCAGAAGGAAATCTTAGCTCCAAACAGATCACTAGGATTTCATGCTAAATCTTTTCCTGGTCAATCCACTTCCAGCTCTAGTTAAGCTCCAATGCTTCTTAGAGTAGAAGTCAAAACGCAGACTTTTCTGTGTCTGAGTGATGGTTCTTACATGGATGTAAACAGCATGCGGTATGATGACAGACAATTTTGATACGATTTTGTTTCTTCTCCATTTTGTGGAATTGTTTTCCAAATACTATCTATTTCTTTCCCAGCCCAGAAGGGTACATGGAAAGTTTTAAGCAAACTAGGAAACCAAACATAAATAAACAAGGTCCATATTAATAAAAAAGATACAATTAGCTGGGCGTGCTAAAAACCAAACCAGAATCCCTCTGAACTTCTAAGCCACATCTTTCACATAATATTGCTCATCAGGCTTTCAAGTGCTATAATCATATCACTGTATTTTTCCCCTGACAGCCTGTTCTGTTATCCCAAGCTTATGTTCAACAGATGTTATCCCTGCTCCTGCAAAAAAAAATTTCTGGGCAGACTGCTTGCTCTTGGAAGTCCCTCCTGGCTGTGAATAGGGCTATTCAGAGTAAAACATTACTCCACTGCATTTGCTTGTTTGGTGAATAAGCAGATTTACATAAACTCCAGATTATTTTAAAGCCAACTAGAAAGTCACCCTAAAGTTAACACTTTGCTGTATCACTGATACCTACAGCTGAGGGCTCAACAAGGACAAG